TGTCGACGAAATGACTTGTCGACGAAATGACCCTGTCGACGAAATGACTTGTTGATGAAATGACCCTGTCGACGAAATGACCCTGTCGACGAAACAACCCTGTCGAGGAAACGGCCTGTCGACGAAATGACCTAGTCGATGAAATGGCCTGTCGATGAAGTGGTGTCGATGAAATGGCCTGTCGATGAAGTGATTGTCGATGAAATGAACCAGACCCGGTTGGGTGTTAGGGAACGCCGTGTGGAGGTTTGGTGATTTTCTACCACCATGTGGCCTCCGATTTAAATTTTGGTAGAGTAGCGCCTTAGTATTGTCTTCGACTCATCATGGATGAATCCCAGACCGTCGCCAATAGCTCATTAATGCAGCTCTAGTGTGACGCTAATAACAGAACAAAATTGTTTTCATATCAAGATCAATAGAAAAGTAATTGTTTTTAAAAAAAAGTTTACTGTCTACTGATTAATTAGTCAGATGAAATTAATGGAATTTGAGACTATTGCTATTTGATTACGATATGATAAAAAAAATAGAAAAAGAATTATTATAGCTTGTACTCACAGACTTTTCATACTAATACAGCAGCATAGACGAACAGCAAGAAAAAGTAATTCATTGCTATCTTTATATATTTGCAAAATACTGAAGTTATTTAATAACCTCTATTTATTAGCAATGATGAAAGCTGTTTTAAGTACTTAATTACAAACTGTCAGAAGCTAGTAAGATATATTTCGGAATCGCGATATGTTTTCAAAATTAGCTGTAATAACATCAGTCAGAAATTCTGATAAATTATAATCGAATATAGAAAGAGTCGACGAAATTCAAATTTTTAACCCTGCATTAATTAAAGTTGAACATAGTTTATTAAAAATATCAAAGGTATTATTATAGCTTGTACTTACGGACTATTGCTACTAATACAGCAGCCAAGACGAACAGCAAGAATAAGTAATTCATTTTTCTGTTATCTTCGTGGATTTTCTGAATACAGAAGCTATCCAGTCCCCTCTACTTATATGATGTAATTTAATTTAAACATTTAATTTCAAACTAACAGATGCCAGTAAGATATATGTCGGAATCGAGACATATTTTCACAATGAGCTGCAATACGTCAATCATTAACGCTTTTCAATCATAGCCGGCTATGTAAATAGTCGACGAATTGCGAATTTTTAATCCTGAAATGAAAATGGATTTTAATTTTTAAAGTCTGCATTCGGTTGCTAAGAACGGATAAGTTCTTAAATAATTTCGAAAAATTTTATCTCCTTTTCGTTTTTTAAGAATTGCATAAGAATGCTTTTAAATAGCAGTGATGTGCTCAAATAATTTTCAAAATTTTAAATCAAATAATTTTATGAATCTTCAAATAAAATAATTTTATGAATCTTCAAATAAAATAATTTTCCAAAATTTCTTTTCATTTCCATTTTTTTTTTATTTCTTTTTTTTTTGGTATTGCTTGTAAAATGTTTTAAAATTGCAGAAATGTGCATCAAATAATTTTATGAATCTTCAAAATAAATCATTTTCAAAAATTAGATTCCATTTTCATTTTATTTTTTTTAATTTTTCTGCTATTGTATAAAAAAAATTTTAAATTCCAGTGATGTCAATCAAATAGCGTTTAAAATTTTCAATAAAATAATTAAATTAAAATTTTCAATCAAATAATCAAATTAAAATTTTCGATCAAATAATTAAATTAAAAATTTCAATCAAAAATTTGTGCTTCAAATAATTTTATGAATCTCCAAAATAAATCATTTTCAAAAATTTCAATTCATTTTCATTTTCTTTAAGTATTGCTTAAAAGATGTTTTTTAATTGCAGTGATGTCCATCAAATGACGTTCAAAATTTTCAATCAAATAATATTCAAATTTTCATTTCCTATGAATTTTTTTTAGAAATTTTATAAAAATGTTTTTAAATTTTATTGATGAGAATTTTAATATTTGTTATAAATAATTGCAAATATTTGTTATAAATATTGCAAATATTGTTACTTAAAAGTGAATTTATTTTAACATTAAAGGGGACGTTTTAAAAAAATCACAAATTTGCCCCATGGAGTTTAGATTTTTCTATTCATTAATTTTAAAACCTATAGTCATTCACGAAACATGCCGCTATACAGTTTGGTATTAAGATATTTAGAGTCTTGAGTTTAGGCAAAAATATTTTACTTATTATAATTTAAAAATAATTTTCATAGTGAAAGCTGCAATTTTTGGATAGCAATAAGAATCCTTTTTCTTAACTGGCACTATACACATGCATTTGAGCAGTAAATTTGTTCGCAAATGTCAGTCAAAACATCAATTTTAAAGTATGATTTTTAACGTTTTAGACATTTTTAAGATAAAAAAATAATTTTATAAATTTAAATTACAAATAAACTAAGTTTTCTGGACACCATTAACTTCTATAATTGGTGCCATGTCTAAACCTTTGTCTAAAATGGGCAGGAGAAATAATTCAATGTTTATTACTGGAATATTGGAACACCGAGTGTAACTTCTAAATAGTAGAATAGAAATATATTAAAAAGGTGAAAAATTCTGATTTTCCAGAAGACTAAAAACAGGAAAATAATCTAATTTCATAAATTCTAAACTGAAAATTTGGGACTCATTCGAAAAACGTGCGGTGACTTCCACTGGTGTAAGAAGTCCGAAAGTAATGTCACCTACGTTTTTTAAATTTTACATTTTGTCACTAATCTATTCTATTCTAATCTAAAAAATTTCTACTATTATTATCAAGTAAAATAATGAAACTAAATAATTATTAAAACTTATTTTTTTGCATGAAAATAACTATTCATAAACGGATTTTATCAATGCATACAGAAACTTTTGAATTTCCTTAAAAATTTCTAGAGGCATTGTGCGATACGCAGTAAGTAAAATTATCTGCAAGTTATCTAAAATTTCCATCGCTCTCCTGACCCAACAATTGAGATCCAATTTTCCAGATTACCTTTTCCTGACCCCTCATAATTTGAGGGTATAAGAGAAAAAAAGTAATGTTTATTCAAAGACAGTACGTTTTTGTGAGTGATTTTATAACTTGAAATAGTGTCTGCACTAATTAATCAGTTTATTTAAGATGAGTCATGCCTTACTAAGCTTCTATGAATATTCATCCCTCCATATCCTCTATCTGCAACCGAAATTTCGCCGTTTTTTTCATAAATCTTGTCAATTTTGCTTTATTATTTTCTAAGAAATGTCCCCTGTAGTTTCATCTGGTGAATGCTCTGGAACTATCCTGTGTTCCGGAAATAAGACTTGAGACTAATAAACAACTAAAGAAAACATTTATTAGATTAAACAAACATCTCACACGCCCAGCGTGCTCTCGTCGATACAGCTAGCAGTTGAAGAAAATACGTGGAAGAAAAAACAATTATCGCATCCATGTCGTCACTTTTATACTCTGAAGATCTGCACCACTTCAGTTCGCTTCACCAATAGTAATCGCTACCGCAGCGACGCCACAGGGCTCCCCAACGCAGTCTGGAAGACAGTCACACGGAAAATCTCACGTGGTTAATCTTTATTTCAGAGAGTTGAAAGGCCGGCTACAATCTCTCGATACTAACAGTCTGCTTACGACGTTGAATTTGTATGGTGAAGTGCTTTGGAGACTAAGCTAGAACCGGATGTGGTCCGCTATAAGATGGAACAAGAGATCTCTTTAATCTATCCTGTCGAAGAAAAACATGAGAACAGTTATTAAGTTCTTTATGAACAAAAACGTTTTTCCTACAATGTTGTGAAGCAGGAGTAGATCGCAAAGACCTAACTCTATTTTGTAACTTGCAAGAAACTCGTTGTAAGTTAAATTTTTTGAGTTAGAAAAAAATTCCCCAGGCAAAGTTATAGGTGTACCATACACCATCTCGGCAACAGAACACTGTAAAGGCTCTTTTATTGATGCTCGAATGCCAAGCCAAGTAATATTGAAGGTAAAACTAAAGTCCACCTGTCTGTTGAATGAGCACGAATCGCACTCTTCAATTGCTTGTGCAATCTCTCTACCATCCCGTTTGACTGAGGATGATAAGGTGTGGTATGTACAAGTTTAATACCAAGAAGACTAGCAAATTCTCGGAATAAATTACTCTCAAATTGCCTTCCCTGGTCCGTTGTAAGCCTTTCAGGAACACCAAATCTTGCGATCCAGCTGGGAAAAAATTCAAAAGCTACTGTCTCCGCTTTAATGTCCCGTTGAGGTATAACTTCTGGCCATCGGAAAAATCGATCCACACACGTTAAACAATAAGTCAAGATGCCGAATTTGACGCGGGGAACATTTCTCATGTTTTTGCGTAAAAGCGTAAATTAAAGGTTTATGATCGGTATAAATTGAAAGCTCGCGACCCTCCAACAAGTAAGAAAAATGTCGAACCGAAGCGTAGATAGCCAATAATTCACGATCATACACACTATAACGCTGTTCACTAGGGACTAGATTACGCGAAAAAAATGCCAAAGGCTTGAACTCATCACCTTCTTTCTGGCTTAGAACTGAACCAATAGCTCGGTCTGAAGAATCGCACGTCAAAGATAATTTCGCATTTTGAGATGGATGCACTAACATAGTTGTTTCACTTAAACTAACTTTGCTTCCTCTGTCCAAATTAAAGGCCGGTTATCATTTTTCTTAGCGCCCTTAAGATAATCAGACAGTATTGATTGCTCATGTGCAGCGTTTCTCAAAAACCCTCTATAAAAATTAATTAGAGCTAAAAACCGCCTTAATTCTTTAATAGTTTTAAGTTGTTGATATTCATTTATTGCCTTAACTCTGTCTGGTAGTGGTTGAATTCCCTTTTCAGAAATCAAATACCCTAAAAAATTAACAGACGATTGTCCAAAAACGCATTTTTCTGCATTCAGAACAAGTCCATATTTTTGAAATCTATGAAAAATTTATTCCAAATGCTTTAAATGCTCGCTTTCATTTTCAGATGCTACAAGTACATCGTCGAGATAAGAAAAACAAAAATCTAAATCTTCGAGAATCTCGTACATAAATGTCTGAAATGTTTGCGCGGCATATTACACAACCCAAAAGGCATAAAAAGGAATTCAAACAATCCAAACGGAGTTATTACCGCTGTTTTTGAAACATCCTCAGCAGCAACTGGAATCTGATGATAAGCTCTAACAAGATCTATTGTCGAAAATTTCTTTTTATTAAAAAGATTACGAGCAAAATCATGCACATGAGGAATTGGGAATCTATCAGGAATAGTTTGAGAATTTAACTGCCTATAATCTCCGCATGGTCTCCAATCGTCTTTTTTTGGGGGGGTACCATGTGAAGTGGGCTAGCCCATGCACTTTTCGATGGTCTACACCAACCCTGAGATACCATATACTGAAATTCTCGCTTTGCAACCTGTAATTTTTGAGGAGTTAATCTTCGAGTTTTAGAATAAACAGGTGCACCACGAGTTTCATTATGATGCTCAGTGTTGTGTTTCACCTGAATCGGTGATTTTGGCTGACTTGGTTTGGTAATATCACCAAATTTTTTTAGCAATTTTACAAAGGGAGAGTTACCCTGAACAATCGAAATACTTATAGACTCGAACTCAGAAACAGTTTTTCCGAGATCTACGGTATTGGTGCTATTAAGCAATTTTTTCCGCTTTACATACCGCCCGTAATGCCCAAGAAAATCTACCCCTATTATAGGTTTCGAAATTGCTGCCAAGATAAATGGCCACTGGAATTTTTTTTTTAAATCCCAAATCTAAAGTAATCAATTTAGTACCAAAAGTTTTAATTTTGGTTCCATTTGCGGCATACAGCAAAAAATTAGAAGACTGAACTTTTTCATTCTTTACCATAGGTAAGATACTAACCGCAGAACCTGTGTCAACCAAATATTTATGACCAGTAATTTTATCAAAAACAAATAAGCGCTTTACCAAACCTTTTTCTACCGTCAGCGCCGAAACGGAAGGTTTATTTNAGCAATTTTTTCCGCTTTACATCCACCATCAAACCGTAATGCCCAAGAAAATCTACCCCTATTATAGGTTTCGAAATTGCTGCCAAGATAAATGGCCACTGGAATTTTTTTTTAAATCCCAAATCTAAAGTAATCAATTTAGTACCAAAAGTTTTAATTTTGGTTCCATTCGCGGCATACAGCAAAAAATTTGCAGGCTGAACTTTTTCATTCTTTACCATAGGTAAGATACTAACCGCAGAACCTGTGTCAACCTAATATTTATGACCTGTAATTTTATCAAAAACAAATAAGCGCTTTACCAAACCTTTTTCTACCGTCAGCGCCGAAACGAAAGGTCTATTTAGTTTTCCGATCCAAAAGTGCATGGTTGTTGACACTTGCTAGCTTTATTTCCAAATTTAAAATGCCACCAGCAATACTTCCGATTTATAGACTTTCGAACTTCTTTTCCACGAGAAGAAGATCTATGTCGAATTTCTATTTTTGAGAGTCTCTGCTCAATTGCTGTTAAGCGCTTTTCAATATTTTGAAAACCCTGCGATTCGACATTAAATGAAACCGAAGTGACAGCATCCTCGTTAGAAATCTCAAAAACACTATCAGCCATTTTAGCTAAAGATTGCACATTATCTTTACTGATAGATAAAATTTGCCGAATTTGCAAAGGCAAGCGTTGCAACCACAAGTTTTTCAAAACCTCAGATGAAATTTTATCTGCAGCTAAACTTTGCATCTCGTAAAGAAGTTTTGAGGGTTTTTTATCGCCTAACTCAATACCTGAAAGCAATTTTTTTAAACGTGATGATTCAGAATCAGCATTTTGTGCAATTAACCTAGTTTTTATTTGAGTATAAGCTTCACTATCAGGTATATTTAGTACAATATCTGAAACGCAAGTTAAATCAAGGTCGTCGGGCTACCGAAGCGGGGGTGCCATCCCCTCCGCAGAGGATCAAAATTGTGATGGCATGTCTTCGGATCATCCTCCGGGATGTTTCCCAGACCGTCGCCAATTGTGCAGCTCTAGTGCGACGTAAATTAACAACAACAACAACAGCCAGTTAAATCATCACTACCTAAGGATGAAACAACATAATAAAATTTAGTGGAATCAACTGTTATGTTAGCTAATTTAAATTGGGATTCAAGCTGAGCAAACCATAGCTCAGGCTTGTCATTCCAAAAGAACTGGAGTCTTTATTGCTACAGCCGAATTTTCACCAAATGAACTACTCTTAAACCAGATGAACTACTCTTTGTACTCTGGTGAACTCTCTTAAACACTGACTTTTCATTATTCGAAAGTGAAGTTTCCCCTTCCATTATAGTAGCACTTAACAATTTAGGAAAAAAAACCACATACGCATAAAATATATTACAAATTCAATACTATAAGTCCCGCAGTGGACTGATCGTTAAGACACGGTTCCCAGCAGATCACCGAAGTCAAGCATCACTGGCTGCGGTCAGTGTGCGGGTGGGTGACCACTTGGATCAGTCTGCGTAGGGACCGAGGGTGTGCGGTATTGGTCCTCGTTAAATTGTGCTACCGTAAAGTGCTCGACTTCGCGCGCAGGTCGTCGAGCTACCGAAGCGGGGGTGCCATCCCCTCCGCAGAGGATCAAAATTGTGATGGCATGTCTTCGGATCATCCTCCGGGATGTTTCCCAGACCGTCGCCAATAGCCCATTGTGCAGCTCTAGTGCGACGTAAATTAACAGCAACAACAACAATACTATAAACCAGTAATAAATATAGCGTAAATATTTTGAAATGCAACAACTCTAAATGTGGTAGGGAAATTTTTTTCAGCACTTAAAACAATGAAAACATCAGTCTAACATTTAAACTACTAATTTCATTTTAAAAATTTTAACCTAAATCGTATATTTAGCATCTTGACCGAACCGAAAAGTTACGACAAGAAATGCTAAACTCACCGGGTCACCACTTGTAGTTTCATCTGGTGAATGCTCTGGAACTATCCTGTGTTCCGGAAATAAGACTTGAGATTAATAAACAACTAAAGAAAACATTTATTAGATTAAACAAACGTCTCACACGCCCAGCGTGCTCTCGTCGATACAGCTAGCAGTTGAAGAAAATACGTGGAAGAAAAAACAATTATCGGTTGGATGCTGGATATTGGGGTTATCTCGGCGTTTGGCGCGAAGCGCCACTAACCAATTCATCGATTTTGTTTTGTCGTATTCTAGGAGGTCCTAAATATCTTTGAAGTTGTAGTATGCTGTAACAACAAATCAAGTCCTGAAAGAAGCAAATCTTTAGTTTTGAAGTGAAAATCATCTTTGGAATGGGGAGATCCCCATGAGTAGAGTTGTATGATAAAGTTAATAGTATTTTGATAGAATGCAGTCTGAGCATAAAAAGGCGGTAATTGGGCTGAAATTCGAGTTATCACGGATTATATCAATATCGAACAACTTATTGAAATCTGGTGTGGTGCATGTTTTTGCGTCGCTATAAAATTTTGTGGTCAATTTAGCTATAAAGCAATTAAGCAATTATCGCATCCATGTCGTCACTTTTATACTCTGAAGATCTGCACCACTTCAGTTCGCTTCACCAATAGTAATCGCTACCGCAGTGACGCCACATCCTCCTTACTGTCCTTCGTTGAAATGTCCTTCTTGAAAGTCACTAATCCGATTATGTGACCAAAAATCACCAAACATTTTTCTCCATAATTTTGAGAAATTCATTTAAAATCTTATGTAACACTTTAGCGCTTCAGAAGAACTTCATGCAAGTTGCAAGTTTATAGTTTGTCTAAGCTGAGAAATCCTCCCGCCACAAAGTCTGAGCCTGTCTGGAGCTATGGAAACAGGAATGGCGCATTTTAGGGAAGGTAGCTTCACTCTAGAGCAGGGGTTTCCAACTGGCGGCCCGGGGGCCGCATCCGGCCGGCAGAGCCTTTTCTTGTGGCCCGCGAACTAAATATATTAGTTGTCATTTTTTTGTGAACAATTTTCGTAAAAAATCTATATGGATTTAAAATATTTACTTTTCTCGTTAATAGAAACCTGATTTCTTCGTTTCCGTGAAATTTAACATACCAACGGTGCAAAAAAATTTATTTCTCGGGTTTTGCATCCAAGAAAGTATTTATTCAAATACAAAAATAATCGTGTATGTTGCTCTTTTTTATTTTATTTTTTTGTATTTTGTGAATATAATTCAGCATGTGTGTATCAGAAATTTTCTCGAGGAAATTCTACTATTTAACTTATTGAAAACACTCATTTTGGACGAAAATATTCGCACACGCATTTATAAATTTTAAATGTAAATGTCTTTTTTCTGGTGGTTGCATCAGACAAACCTCAATTTTCTCATTAAACATTTTGTGTGGTACTATGTATGTTTTAATACCAACATTTCTAAAGTTTTATATCTTAACAATTAGATATCTGTTGCACATTAATGGTTTAATACATAGGTGCACATTAAAGTTATTGTAGCTCGAATTTTTTTTATTTATTTAATATTTTTAAAAATATTGTCAGTAACAATTAAGTATTTTTAAAAATCTACTTCTTATTTTAATTTGTAATTCAATACTTTTGCTTTGTACAACTTGGTAAAAATCTGACAGTAATATTTAATGTTCCTTCAAACAAAAAAGAGTCCAACATTAAATTTTGATAAAGTTGCTGCCCGCCATTTGATTGGTGTTTTTAATTGTGGCTCCCGGCCTCATGTTAGTTGGACTAACACAAATAGAAAGGAATTCCCTTTCTCCCGCCGGCACAAGCCGAAACCAATTCAAAACAGTGACCCCGCACCCCTACTTGAAATAGTCATACCTCGTTACCATAGTCACCGCCACAGGTTCAGACGAACGTCTGGAGGAGTTCTTATATTAGACAAACTATAGGAAGCCGAGAATAATGATTCCTAATTCCATCCGCAGCAGACGAACATTCTGAAGAAGCGGATGCTTGCATTGCTCATCTTGTTCAATTCTTCGAATTGCTGTTTCTGTGATACCTCTATTGGTTCTCTTTGTACAGATTTCGTCACGCTATCTTCTATAAGCTTTTTCTCTTCACTGATTTTGGGAAATACTTACTGCAGAGTCGTTACTGTTATTTCATCTCTTCCTAGACTACTGGCACCTCATTCCATTACAACCTGATTTTCTTTCGAAATGAAAATGTTATAATATACCATTTATCGCTCATAGTTGCGAACTGGCACATTATCTGCACTCGGCATTTATTTTGGATCGGACAACTCATTCTCGAAATCAGACGCAAAATATCGCTCATGGACTGCAATTGTGGCACAACTCAAAAAACACGCATTTTGGACTAAGAATATATGTGAAAATACACATTATTTTCAACAACAATATTAGCACAACTCAAATTCAACTTGAAGGTAATTTTCGTTTAAGCAAACTAAAGCATTTCTTAAGCATTTTCCTTACCAATGAAAACTTTAAACCCACTTATCTGAAAACATGATTTTTTTTTAGTTGTGCCGCTATTGCAGCCCATAAGCAATATTATATAAAGTCTACCGGTTGGTATTTAGCCGAGCGTAACCAATCAGTGTATGAAATGATGGAAAAAAGTTCCTCTTTGCTGTCATTGTTCACTTCACCAATTATTTATCTGCAATCAAGTGGAATGTTTTAACCACAATCAGCAGCAATATTCGATGTTTCCCGACCGGTAATACTTATTCAAAATTTACATCAAAATCTTCTTGGGAAGTTTCATTAACACTAAGACTATTGTTATGTTGTGACTCTTTTAGATATTAAGTTTTTGTTATTTTTTATTTTATTTATATGACCATCATTGAACAGAATTACGACCAATTTTTGGGTTAATGTTCAACTACGTAGCTTTGTAATTTTAAACCCATTCCAGAAGACAAGGGAACTCCAGGATCAAATATTGGAAGAAATTTACCTTCGTGGAGGATTTTTTGATGCAACTAACCAGCATTTGCGATAGATGGAGAGGAAAACCACGAAATCCTGATGGCAAGGGGACTCTAACCCATGATCCGTTTATCACTGAGGATATTTCAAGTCATCACTGTTGTTGGTGCTAGCCGGATGCGGAATTACATCGTTAGGATTCGAACTTGGTTCACCTCATTGGAAGGCGTACGCTCTATCACCTGAGCCATCGTTGCTGTTTAGATATTAATTTTATTTCCTTTTATTTTATATCCGTCGCTGAACAGCGGACCCAATTTTAGGGTTTACGACTACTAATTTTTAACTTCGTAGCCTTGTAATTCTGAGCCCAATCCAGGAAACAAGAGAATTCCTGGATCAAGTATTGAGAGAACTCAAGAGACTCATTCTCACAATCAGATGGGAAAAGTGGTTTATAAGAATAATGTCTTGATGACTTTGGAACAACAAAGGTGGATTATTTGCCATATACTTAGTTAGAATCAGAAAGACCCTTCTGAGAAAAATCTTTAACACTGAGTGGTGTTTCAAAATTTGAAATTCTAAATTTCTCAGCATTAGGATGTTTAAATTGTTCTTGCAACACAGAAGCGGAACCATCCTCGGTTCTTTCATTATCACCATACAATTAGGCACTTCGAGAAGAAGAAGATCACAGATAGCCACACATGTGACCTAAAATGTAAGGGACAGCTAATCGTTTAAAAGCAAAATGACGTGTTAAAGTTGACCTAAGTTTCTCCGTGTAAGTTAGAATGCTAATTAACGTGAAAATAATTAAATACTGGGTCATATCGCACATCAAACTTGCTGAAATATATTTTTTTCTCGTCTATGTCTTTTTCTTACTAAGATTCATTATTTGTTTGCGCATTTTATTGTAACCGTAATACATTTTTGTTTTGTGTACCTGCCAACTTCGATGCATAATTAGTTTGTTTATGTTCTACGTGGCTTCACGCCAGTCTGGGCGTTAAATAAGAAATATATAGTGAAAGAATTGAAATCTTTGTAAAAGAATTTAGAATGTGTCACTTAAGAAAATCAATATCTGACGGGCTTGGCTTACTCGAAATAGAATGGGAAGAGCAGTTATTATCGTAAACAGATGCCACGTTTCAACAACCAATCAGTATCGAGATACCCACGCTACGTCACTTGCAAGTATCCTAATCTATATCAAATTCTGTGGCTGGGGGGCGCAGTTGGTTTGTCGTCGGCTTTCTGAGCCCAAGTCTGCGGGTTCGATCCCCGGCCCAGACACCGGATTTTTGGGATGCAGAAAATCCTCAGCGGCCATGTCGTATGATTATGCGGCATGTAAAAGATCCCTGGAGTGCCTTATTGACTCTTGGCATTTCCGGCAAAATTAAATTCCTAGTGCACTTTAGCATCCAAACAGTGTCTCGGTGCTGCCATCTAGTGTGGCAGAAACTAGACGTTTATCATGGTCAACGGTATCTCACCCATTGTGGTGGTCCTGAAAGAGTGGATACCACTTCTGGAGAACGCACTAGGTCTGCTCATCGGGAGGACTGATTGTAAGCTCATAGGAAATTTTAAAAAAAATTTTAAAAATATCAAATTCTTCACTTAAGTCTGTTAATGAAGGTCTATTCATAATTGAAATATCAAATTTGAATTAAGTATTTTTATTTGCTTTTGAAATGGAAGTTTAATTTGTGAATAGCAATTCTCCAATTTGTAACATTTAGCAAAAACAATTTAAAAGTCATTGTCAAGAAGGATTTTTTTTTTAATATTATTATTACCATTGTACAGTAAGATTTAATGTTATATTTCTGAAATGAATGCACATTTTCAAGACTTGCCGATCGTGAATAAGAAGTAACAAAAGAGATTTGAAATATAAAACGAAATCTAGAACTTTTGCTTCGTCTCAATGTCAATTTATATAATATTATATAATATAATAATATATAATATAATAGTGTATAATTTAATAATATATAACATAATAATATATAATATAATAATAAATAATATAAAATATAATGATATATAATATATTAATATATAACATAATTTGTTTTCACTTATGTTAAAATTTTTTAATGTTTCTGGCAAGTCTTGAAAAAGGGCGCCTATTATTGAGCACTTGAAATATGTCGAGTGTTATTTCCAATCTATTTATTTTGAAGAAGCTAGAGGTTTTTAATCAAGTGATATCTATAAAATTGATTGAGATCATATGAAATAGATTTTTATAAATTACGGCTTTTCTTACTTTTTCGCAAAAAATCATACAGTTGTTTTTTGTTCAATATTTTTTAAATTTTTTCTTTATTACAATGTATAATGCCCAACTTTAGATTATTTTATGAGTTTATAGAATCTAGCATCGAAGTAACTTTTAAAATACTGAAAATGAGAACGCAAGCGCTTTTCGTTTTCTTGTCATTTCCTCCCAGCTCTAAGAGCGGAATAAACTAGCCCTTCCATTCTCTTTAGCCCTGATTTCTTGAGTAACTAATTGAAAGCTGATAACAAGGATAACACTTAATCCAACACTCATGAATAACTGTTACAAACTTACAACAGTAAAAGAAATAACATATTAGTTACTAAATGGCATTATGTATGTAAGAGCGACTTCGCTGTAAAGTTAGTAAAAAGTATTAAAGGCGATTTCGAACATTGTCGCCAAGGAAAATAAAAAAGTAGTAATTTAAGTGCCTTACACTTGAAGCAATACGATGATTTTAAACTAGGTATGTAATTTTGTCGTGAAGATCTTCACGACAAAATTACATACCTAGTTTAAAATCATGTTATCTGTTACCTATTTATGTTACCTAGTTATCTGGGCCTTAGGACAAATAAATAACTTGAATATTTTAAACTAGTGGGCTGCGCCTCTGCTCGCCAACCCCCGAAAATTGTTATGCAATCTTATATGGTTTGCTTCGCTCGCTACTAACTTAGCTACATTGCAAATGCACAAAATTCTAAGAATTCAAAACAATCCTTCAAATTCATATAACAACTTTTTTTTTTACTGAATTCAAATAAATGACATGTAATTCGTTAAACCTATTAGAAATGTGCTATAGTATAATTCGTGATATAGATCAAAAATCGTCAAATAAATTCGTAATATATAAATTCGTGAAAAAAAGGGCTTTCGACAAAATACTAAAATAGAAATCTATCGACTAAGACCACTCACTTCTGCTTAGCTTAATAGTATGAGATTGCCGGTGATAGGGTGAATTTCGGAAGAGATCACATTTGGTGAGAATGCTCTCTGGTTATTTCAGTTTCCGTTTTTAAAAGCGCTATATGTTGAGCCACCTCAGCTAGATTTGGCATGTGACTCTTTTAGTGACAATCATTGGTCGATTTTCTAGCGTTGCCATCCGGGGAGTTGTAATGAGGCTTTTTTTTGTCGCCGTGTAAGAGAAATATATATACAGAAGTTACTAAATTTTTTTTTAAAAATTTCCTGGCGACATTTTCCGCCTAGGGGAAAATTATCAAAATCATTGTCTTATTCTCAGTTTCTGCTAACTGTTATGAGCCCAGGTAATGAAGCATTGGAGTAAGTTTTTAATTATTAAAAATTTAGACCACATACGCTTTTAATTTTCACAAATTTGTGGCTTTTTCTGTGTAGTGACATTTTGAGCCGTTTTCAAAATAAGCGTTGACAGCGCTGGTATTAAATACGCTAAACTTGACTTAACAGTTGAAAACTCACAGCAGTTATGAAAAATAGCTTTAAGATAGATTCTTAAAGCAACAGCAATCAAGAAAAAAACAAAACAAAGAATATCCTTCCAAGATATGTCTCAGAGCCACGTCCATTTTCTAACCAGCTGTATTTATCATTGATATCTATGATGCAATGTAGTTTAGAAATTTAATTTCAAATCGTCGCATACTAAAAATATATCTTCAAATCGTGTTGTGCTTTCACGAATTCGTCTTTAAATTTTAATTTCAAATTCTTTAAATAAATCATAAATGCTGCTCATTTGTCCCTCAACTGTTTAAATAAAAAGGTGAATATTTTCCATTTTCAAGGTGACTAAAATCTGGAAAATAATCGAATTTCAGAAATTCTAAAATTGAAATATAGGGCTCACGCAAAAAACGTCAGTTCGATGGCAAAAAAAAAGCTTGCTATGAAGTCATGCACCCTATGTTTTACATTTTAGGTGTACCAAGAATCGAATTTTTTTCTTTGTGAAAGTCCTCTTAAACATAGCTTTTAAGTTTCATATTACTATTCTATTCTGCATACTTGTAGAAATAATTGGCTGGACTTTAAAAACGGTTATATAGCTTAAATATTAAAAAAAAAATGCTTTTTTTAATCTCTAATTCGGTGCGATTTTTCCCAACTAAATAAAAAATCTGCTAAATGAGTGAAAAATGCTATAAAGTATAAAAACTGATGATAATGAAAGATAAGAGATATGTAGTACGTGACTGATAATAATTAAAGGTAAAAGTAACGTTAAAATTCACAAATGTTAAAGTAGTTAAAATAGCATACAAGATTCGATGCAACTTCAGTGTACACTTAGAAATTTCAACGGTCAATAAGTTTTACTGAAGATTTTTATTATTGTACAGTTCGCCAAAAAAAAGTTGAATATCTTAAATAACTTTTGATATAATGAATGATTATTATGTATAACGTATGTTACCGTTAAAGTGTATAATTAAGTTATTTCATAGAATAACGAGGTATTTCATGAAATAACTAGACATTATGATCAGAAGCTTAGCAATTTTTTTTTTTTAAACAAGAAATTTTATTAGTAAATGGTAAAAATATTTTTATGAAAAATTTACAACTTCATTTAAATGTTTAACTGAAAAAGGATTTAAAAGGGTAAGTTTCAAAATAAAATTTCTGAAACACTCATGCCTGCTATTCTCAAACTGAAAAAAAAAAAAAAAAAATGCAGTAAATCGCAATAAAAATAAATATCAACTATTGAATGAAACGTGACTTATTTTCCAGAGAAAATTACTAATCAATAACTGAAATACAGAAAGAATTACACTTCCTACAAATCTAAATTGACAAAGTTCTTAGTTTTAAATGCCAAATAGTAAAAATATATAACTCGAGTTTCTACTAACTCTTCAATAACATTTAACTTTTTCCAATAATAAATAACCTTGAAGTAATTCAAAAACAGAAAAGTCAGTTTTACTTCCTTAAAAATTTCCTATTTGAGGGCGACTTTCGAAAATCATAAATACGGACTAATAACGAAAACTTTCTCCAGAACTGATCTTATGCTACAAGTTTGTTTAGTGAAAGAAAAGAATGCAAGAATTGTAAAAAACCAACTTTATTAACACAGTGCAACTCTTATAAGCTTAGCTTTGGAACGGGTAATTATATATGGCATGAAAAAACATTTTTATATTCTTTACTGCTGTTTACATTCAGATGGTACAGGAGCCTGCCCCTGAGAATTTTGCTGGCCTCTAGATTTCTTTCGATTCTAGAAAGAAAGAATGCAAATAAATATTTAAAGTAGTAACATAACAGAATTACACAAGTCAAAACAGCCTAACATTCTAAATATATAAGAGGTGGCCATCAACTTCTGACTGAAAATCTGGGGTAGTCTGTTAGCAATGGAAATATGAGTAAAACCATTATAACAGGGAAGATTCAAATTAGAAGAGAGTCTTATTGAAAGTGACATCCTTTAACATAACCAGTATATAATTTAACCGTATCACAATAAGCACCAGCAGTTTTATCAACAATTGATTTAGCAAATATGTAAATAGTGTAAAAATCCATGCATCGTAATATTGTGTTAAAAATTGGGTCTTTTATAATCATGCAGAATTTTGTAGCAATAAGCGTTGAAAAGGCGATCGAGAAAAACGAGATCTGTGCAAATTGAGCGCATTAAAAAGTGATGACTCAAATTTGCAATTCAAAATTTTACATTTTTTATTTTTTAAAGAAAAAAAGTCATTGTGTTCAGAAGCCACGGGTTTTCAACCACATTTATGCTTTAAAAAATTTTTAAAAAACACTAGGAGCACAGAAAAGTCTGCTAATAGTCTCCTTTTCCTGAAAATATTTGCTTTTTTAGACTTATCAGGCAAAAAAAAAAGTAGTCTTAGTCAGCTCGGGCTGAAAATAGTTGCAAATACTTGCATTTTTGTCAGCTAGCAATCCTGAAAATAGCAGAAAAATGTTTCATGGCTGAGGTGATATTTTAAAGATGACAAACTCTGAAAATTTTGGATTTCAATACATCTAGACCTGTGACACTGTTTTGAAACTCAAGTCTTTGTTTAATAATGTACAGCAGTAACATCTAGCCGACAGTCACTTAAAAAAAAAAATTTAAAAAAAGAAAAGAGAAATTCCCAGAAACAGTGATATCATTTAAACATAAGAGAAATGGAACATACCAGGCACTGATTATCATTTTCTTCATCCTCTTCATCTTCCTCATCTTCATCCTCATCATAGTCTTCATCTTCGTCATCTTCTTCCTCATCATACTAAGATTATACAAAAAGAAATATTTTTAACAGAAAACATATTTTTATATTTAAAAAAAACTAATCTAAAAAAACATCCTGCTAAGTTTATTTTTTAATCATTATATGGTATGAAGCACATGTCAGCAGGGTGATAATGATTGACAATTTAAACACAAAGATTTGACAAAACCTAAAAACATATCTGTATGGCAACATATTTTAATAATATTACTGTCAAAGAAAAGCAATACATAAAAATTATCTAGCTTTTGAAAATTTAGAGCTTATTTTTGAAAAAGACTCAATAAGATGAAATTTTGTATGTAAAAAAAAATTAATGATGGCAGTTCAGTTTTCAGACTCGCAATCACTCAAATACAGATACCCAGGGTTCCCACTCAATTTCAGAAAGAAAAAATATTCCCTGTTCTTACCAGGTCAATTTCAATGATAATTGGGACCATATTTTATCTATACAGTGTGATTTTTCATCAGAAAACTTAGATTCTTCTACTTGTAATGCCATATACAGGGGTAATTGTGAGCCCAAGTCAAAATTCCGGAAAATTTCTTGAGTCAAAAAAAGAAAAGGAAAAAAAAACCCAACTTCAATTGAAAAATTAGAAAAAAATTTAAGGCTTTTTATCCTTTTTCCCAATATTTCTTGGTTTACTTAAAATAGGTTTAAAAACTTCACACATTCCTATACCATTTACACATACCTATGATGACCTGGCGAAGTAATTAAAATTTACAAATATGTCTTTATTTCTTGAGTTTACGATTATAACAACTATTTACTGATAAAAAAAATGAATATTAATCATGAATATAAGCCTATAAAGTATCTCTCTGCCTCTCCCTTACAAACAAATAAAATAAACTGTTTTTAAGTTCCACCTTTAAGAATGTGACTATGTGATCAATGATTTTTTTTTAAACGTCTGGACCTTCGATCTCCGGAAACTTCCGGATCACCGTTAGCAAAAAATCCGGAGCATAATCAGCCCGGCATGTATTAGATTTTCTGTGCAAAAAAAAATCAGAGACTGTGGGTGGAAACATTTCAGTTTGATTAGAATGTGAAATTTTTATAACAAATAATTGTAATAGATGTTAGAATTATTTAACTTAAATCTGAATAACCGACTAGTTATTTTCCAGGTATGATATAGAAAATTTCCGGGTTTTTGTAAAAAAAAAGACTGCAACTTTCACTGATTTTTAGAATTAAAAAATTTTTTCTGACATTTCCAGGTTTCCCCTGATCCATGGGAACCCTGGACACAACTGAAATAAAACATAGTTTAAACGTAAAATAAAATGTATAACTAAGTTTTCCAATAAAAAAATAAGCACCCTCGAAGCACTTTTTTCAATTAAAAAAAATTATAATTAAGAAGTCAGAGATAGAAAATATCTCTTGCAAAATGCATCTGACACGTAAAATAATATCATGATTTTTGTTTAGTTCTTAGCAATAATCTGCATGACAAAGAAAACACTTCGAAACTTCTTTTTATAAATACTACTCATTCTGAGTTCACAGAAAGATCAGTTAATGCAGCAACCCTGAGAATTAATCAGAATTTTATACAATAAAACCTGTACCTAGTGGTCGAGACTAGTGTTTAAATACCAATACTAGCACTAGTTTCTAGATCAAATTATCTTGGCTGCCTGCAAAGCTGTAAGTCTCATTCAAAGATAGACAGCGATTTAACACAGCCTTTATATTATTAAAATGCAATTTTAACATTTAATTAGAATTTGGGAACTAAACAAATAGATAGCACTGTCAAAAGTAAAATTATAAAGCATTAAAAGTTTACCTTAAAATGTAACCAGTGGTCGAGACTAGTGTTGAAGTGTTAACACTAGCACTAGTTTCTGGATCTCATTTAATTTTGGCTGCCTGCAAAGCTGTAAATCTTAGCAAAGATAAACAGCGATTTAACACAGCCTTTTTAAAAAGAATTTTTACATGATCTCCGAAATAAAAGTCCCTGAATTGTCTAGGAAAACGCCAGTAAGATTCAACCACATTTTAAAATAAACTAATATTTCATAGATTTATTTAAAAACAAAACTTTTGTTTTGCTCTACTACTTTTATAGCTATTTTATCTTTTTTTAAGTCATATTATAAAATGACTTTCAATTTGTTAATAAGACAATAAGATTTTAAGATAAGACAATAAGTTTACAGGGAGAAAGAATCTGGAAAACGACATAGTCTGTATGAATCTTTGAAACTTTAAATATCATGTTATAGCGACATTGAAAGAGAATCAATTCTATGTGATGTTGAGTTTTTTGCATTTTAAAATACATATAAAAATCTTAAATTATATGTAACCGTTAAAGTGTATACTAGAGTTATTCCTTAGAATAACTAGCTATTTCATGAAGTAACTGGACAAGTCAGTTAAAGTATATAATCGATAAAAGTCTCATATTCCTAGTTATTCTATGAAATAACTATTGATAAACCGTGAAAGTGAAAAATAAATTTTATTCCTATTGCAGATTAATTATAAAAAAGCAGATTATATAATTTAATATAAATATTAATTTATCAAAACATCACCTAAAAGCAACGGAATGAAGCGTACACCTAAGTCATTGTAAAACAGCTATAATCGGTTCAAAACTGACTAAAAGCAGCTCAAATTTTTTTCCAATTACTTATTTACGATCCAGTATTCATGCTTTAACAATCAAGTAATTGCTACTATATTAGAATACCTAATTCAGAACTATCTTGGCACATACATAACTCCTCCCACAAAGCATATAACACTAGAAGTTAACTTACAAGAAACAAATATGAACAGAGAACTTTTAAATATAAATCTAAATAACCACTTACATCATCATCTACCATGTTTTCACCAGTGAAGAATAAAACTGCATGAGGTATTACTCTGTCCTTAAGGAGATTTCCTACTTCAAAATCATTATTAAGGATATTTTGAGTTTCTTCATCCTACATGGAAAAAAATTTATATATTTACTAGAGCAACTAAGCAGTTGTATGAAATAAGGATGCTTTGAGAAAAATACTACTGCCATTTACTTTTAGAAGCTTATATATAACAGGGGTCTACCAAGATTTTGGAAAGATTCTGTCTGGGTAAAATCTAAACCTAATTTTGCATTATATCAGGTTCTTTCTAATGAAGTCTTACTTGAAGAAAATCTCTTAAACTTAAAAAATTAAAAAAAATTTTCACACATCACTGCACAATGACAAATTTTGAGCTTTTTCTTTAATATAATTATTCTGCTCATTGATAGTCATGGCAATTAAATAAAATTTAGAATAAAAGTAAAGTCCTGGATCTATAAGTCAAAAAAATACTAGTACATACATGGAATTGAGATAATTTCTATTGCTTATACATAGGAGTTTCTCTCATAGATTTGGCCTACTTTGAAGACAAATAAATGTGTTTTGATTATCTTAGTGATCATACTTCAATATAACCATTATTAACATAAATTAGTCAACATTTTGAATTACAAAGTATTAGGAAATACTTCAAATGTTTAGCTTTTTCCTTGTGAAATTAACAATATGCAGGGTGCATAGCCAGATTTTTCAACAAAAAATAAGCACCTTTTAAGTACTTTTCAAGTACTCAGAAAATATTTTTAAGCCCTTTCCAAAAAAATTTTTTTTAATTAGGATCTGTGCAGTACAAGCAAACATTTTTTCTATCATTTAAAGTTTTTAATTTATATACATAAAATCAATAACACTTTCAAAATCTTTACATAATCATGATAAAATAACTAGTTTCTGATAAATATTGCAGAGAAAAATTGTGAAAATCATCCATTTTTCGTTATTTAGAAAGACAATTGACAAGGCAGAGAAAAAATCTCTTTTTAAAAAGTTAGAAAATGAAGCAATTTTTAAAAACCAAAATAAAAAACTTAAAGGGCTTTTAAAAAGCGTAAAGCAAAAATAAGCACATTTGTTAAGCACATAAGCACTTATTAAAAACACATCGTACCCTGATACAGTCGGACCCCGCTATAGTGAACCTGGGAAACAGTGAACACTCGGATGTAGTGAACTTTTTTAGCGGTCCCGTCCGTATTCCTATTTAAATAATGTTATTTTTAACGCTTATAGTGAACAGCTTAGAACTTGGAAACTCTGTTATAGTGGACTCAAATTTCATTTCTTTAAATATCTTTTTCAGTCCTCCATCTTTAAACTTGTAGGTGTTGGGACTGAAAATGAATGCATTCCTATAAAATGTGTCATATTACTCTCCTTTATGCTTATCACTTCTAACTATACTGTAATAAATGTCAAACAGATCATTTATCTTATACTCCCCCCTCCCTGACAAGCCTCCCTATATCTCTTTTCCCCAAACTTGCTAAACAACTAGTTAACTTGGCCACCTGCTGAATTTTTGGAATTTTCTTATCTGTTCAAACCATATTCTTTACAAATCACCCCTTGACAATCAAGAAGGGGAACAATTTAACTCATTCTACAGATGCTCTCTTCATATTCTTACATTATCTATTTGAGTCAAGATTTTTATTTCAAAAGCAGTGAAAATGGCAAATTCTCTTAAGAGAACAGCGTTTTCGATAGAGGACAAAGTTAAAATTGTAAAGCGTATTGATGATGGAACTAATCAATCGACACTGTGTAAGGAATTTTGCTTGTCAAAATCTACAGTTTCAAACATTTGGAAAAATCGAAGTGCAATTCTTGCGCCATACGACAAAAACATGGTTTCATCGAAAAAACTGAGTGGAGCTCAAAGAGAAAACGTAGGAGATGCTTTGTTAAGATGGTTCGAAATCTTGTTCAAAATGTAAAAATCTTGCATTCTTTGCACATTGTAGATGTAGATTCTTTGCACATTGTAGAAAATTGATGAACTCAATTTAAAATCAAATTGTGTTCAATCAAAAATCACAAATTTTTTTCATAAAAAGTGAAAATAAAACTAATATTTAGCGACGTAATTACTTTTTCCATCAATTTTTGCTTTATTATCTGTTAATTAGTTAATAATTTTTTAAATAACTTATGCAAAATTGCAAAGCCAATTTTCAATCATTCAACTGTCTTATGCAAAAAATATTCTTCAAAAATTTTGGATATAGTGAACCATCGGTTATAGTGGACACATTACTGAGTCCGCAGACGGTTCACTATAGCGGGGTTCGACTGTATAATGCATTAATGTAAGTTATTTACAAACATTAACAGAACATTAAAAGTTTTTAAGCCTGTCTCAAATAACTACAACATAACATTTCATTATGATTCACATTATAAGTACTGAACATAAAAAAAGTTAGCCTAACAGTTAATTATTTGATAAACTTACCATTTCTTCAATGTTTTCAGTAACTGAAAAAAAAGGATAATTCATTAATATTGTATTGAGAAATTTATACAAACAAATACACTAAATAATAAGTATGAGGGGTGCAAATTGTATCCGATCGCGATATTGGATTTTAAAACAGCAACACAAATTGCGACATTGAATTTTAAATCTCGCAAATACGAATCACAATAGGTAAATTCTATCCAAAATCTATTTTTGATATTACAATAACGTGAATACATAACGCAATGTTGGATTTTAAAAATGTGTGAGTACGAATCGTGATATCAGGTCTTAAAACTAAAAAAAGAATGCAAAAGCACACTACGTCACTTGCAGGTATCCCATGGTAGAGTTAGTTCAATAAAATCATACAAAAAATTTATTTTAGTGGTAGGTTAGTGTAATTAAAGTTCTCCTAGAAAGCATGGTTAAGAAACCAAAAAGGGTTCATACAGAGATCAGAAACAGAAATCCAAGGAGTCCAAAATTTTAAGGACTTATTAAAAATTTTAAAACTTTATTTGTTAACTGTTTAGTTTAGTTTAGAAAGATAACTAAACAGTTTTTTTTAAAATTAAAAAGCAGTTATTATAAAGAACTTGGAAAAATTTATATTTTGCATAAGATATTTATTTTTAGCCCTTTTGAAATAAATTTTGACTTTGTCAAACTTCATCAAGAAAAATAAAGTTATAATTTACCACATAAATACGCTTTCCAGCTTCAAATATTTTAAAAAATCCTGTTGGAGTGCATAGTACAGATGTTAAAGATTTACATAAAAACCTTCTTATCTTATATTTTTAAATTTGAATACATAAGAAAAATCTAAGGCATTTTGTATAACAAAAAAAAAGTAATTTATTAATTAAGTTTGCTTGTTACATGTAAAATTAAAATTATTTGCTATTATTTTTTTTCTTCTAACTCTTGCAATTCAATTTTTTTTTAAAAAGTTTTTCTTAAACTATTATATTTTGACAGCTAAGTCATATTTAGTTTCCCTGCTTGGACAGCAGATTCATCAGCGAACTTAGAAAGTTCATCGATGCGACGCAATAATCTAAGGAGTTCCTAAGGACTAATTTGAAATCTAAATAGTTCCAAGTACTCCTTGGAGACTTATTTACAAGGAGTTTCTTGGGAGTATAAGGAGTCTGTACGCACCCTGATAATGCATGGTTAAGAAAGATGAACTATTCAAGTGGCATTGCGATAAAAATATTAGACACTATCTACATTTAAAATTATATCTTACCTGCAGGAGGACTGAAGAAGTTAAAAAAGGACACATTCTGAACGGTTTTAGTTACAGTTCTAACAGCACCTCTGGCCTTGTGCTTTTGCTTCTTTTTTATTGTCTTAACAGTGACATTTTTACCTTTCTTCCAGTCAATTGTGCAACTACAAAATAAATAAGACTTTTCTTACAGCAGGCTTAATTAAAACACTTCAACATAAAAACAATAACAAGAAAAATTGTACCTACTATAAATTTAAACTTTAAGGAAAGAGAAAAAAAACCTACGTTGTAATTAGTTATAACTAACTATGAAAATCTTATAAAACAGAATACGAACTTCTAATTTCTATCTCTCACTATTTCATAACTGGCAATTTATTCCTCATCTGCAGTTAATGGTTTTAACAATGGAAACACTCAATTATTCATCATAAAAAGTTAGCAAAAATTACTAGTAAAATATTTGATAGTTTTGTATAAATATAAGTAAATATAGTTTTGTATAAGTTTTTCCCAAGTACTTTAGCAGGAAAAAATATTTAAAAAAAACTAAATTACATTTTCGAAACACCATTATATGACTTTAGACAAAAATTGTACAACACCCAGCAATAGTTTGAATAATAAAATGTGTGCAAAATTGGGAAGTTAATTTTAATTAACCCTTAGAATCAGAATTATTTAAATATATTTTTCATACTCTTGCATCAATTTAGGTCAAAATAAATTAATATATTTAGCATTTAAATAACTGATGGTAATGAAATACAGCAGGAAACATTGTTATCTTTCTCTGCGTTAAAAGTTATATCTTCTAAACATGGCTTATTTCCAATCAATTTTTCCAATTTGCAACTGTTTAAATCTAAAAGATACAATAATTCAACATTGAAATTTCTCTAATTTACAAAATCTATTCTACATAAATTATTAAATATGAACGAGAAAAAAACAAACTATTTTAGATTTTAGTATAAATATAATCCAAGTTATCCAACAGAATTTTTATAGTAACTATTAGACTGCTTATTATAATTAAAAAATTGACAAAATTTTTATGCTTCTAATTAGAGCATAAAAAAATAAAAGGGTTACTGGTGTCCAAAGAGATATCTGCTGTCACATCAGGAGACTAATTTTGTCACCACCAGATTAAAAAAAGAAAGTGACAAATCTAAAAGGCCCATACCCTTTAGCTTTGACTATTTCAGGTCCTTCAAATGAAAATACATCTGCTGGATCAGGAACACATTTCAATCCATATTCCTTAGTTAAGACAGAATTTGTGAAGTACTCGTTTGGCTCAAAATGAAATTCCAAGGTGAAACTCTATAAATAAAAAAACACTTTTAAAATTCTAAATCTTCAGTTTTCACAAAAATGGGAGAACATTTGCCCAACTTACCATAGGATCGGCAAATGTGGTAGCCTTGACATCGATCAAGTGTTTAAGGATGGGTTCATCATATTCCTGTTTCAAAGAAAAATCATTAACATTTGAAACTGAACTTAAGATAAAATGAGTGAAAGCTTAACTAAAATACAATAAAATACCTCTATCATTTCTTGAATAGATGGAGCATTTTTGAAAGCAGTCAACCAAAATTCAGGAAGGCCTTTTACTTCTGAAAAATAGAATAAAATAAAATTATTTAAGTATTTCTAATTGCAAAACTATTCTTTCAAAAAATATTCATTCTACATAGTGATAGTCCTTTGTCAAAAACATTGCAGATTGAAAAAAAATAATTGATATATTTACATTTCTTTCAATACTGTGAAACGTAATACCTGAAAAACTTAGGAAATTCAGTGTAAAATTGTCAATTTTAGAAAAAGGGTGGGTTATATTACCCTAAGCCCTTCCGTTACTAATACTTTAATATTTTTTAAAAGAAATTGTAAGAGCAAATAAAAAACTTTTGCAATAATAATATTACAAATCAAATAAAATATTAGAAAAAAGGAAAATTAGAAAAAAGAATTCATAATAATCAGATGCATTTACATTATATATTAGCTTTAGATGAGTGACAAGAACTGAGAAGAATTTAATAAAAATTTTAAAAAAAATTTTACTGACCAATATGAAGAATCCCTGAGCATAACTTTTAAATTAATTTTATAATCTGTATCTAGTGGTCGAGACTAGTGTTTAAATACTAACACTAGCACTAGTTTCTAGATCCATAATCTTGGCTGCCTGCAAAGCTGTAAATCTAATTAAAATAAACAGCTACTAAACACAGCCTTTGTGTCAAAATGCAGACTATATAAAGTTATAACCAATAAAACATCCAGAGTTTATGTTAAAATGTAACCAGTGGTCGAGACTAATGTTGATGTGTCAACATTAGCACTAGTTTCTGGACCTAATTTAATTTAGGCTGCCTGCAAAGCTGTAGATCTCAGCAAACAAGATAAACAGCAATTTAACACAGCCTTTTTTTATTTGTTACATAAGAAATTGGTGACATTTAAAATTCTGCTCATTAACATACAGAGCATACCCGACAGGAAAAAAAATCATTTATACTATCAGTATGTTATAAGCTTTAAAACAATTATTTGTTGCAAAAAAAAAAAATTTTTTTAAATCATTTTAAAAAAAAATTAGGACATTAAAAGATAATTAAAATGTGTCCAGTGGTCGAGACTAGCTGCCAAATGACAGCTCGCACTAGTTCAGGGGTGAAAGTTTCAAAAATTGTCAAGACTGAAAATTTCAAAATCAGAAGTGAGCGTGCCCCGTCCAATAATTTTAAGTAAACAAAAAATTAGATATGAATTCTTTTCATAAAAATTGTGAACAAACTTTTCAATAAAAACTAAAATACACAAAATGTAAATACGGCTTATAAAAATTCCGTATTTATTTTAGTAAATCTACTATTGTTAAGGAGTATAAACAAAAAATGCAAATAATTATTTATTTCAAGCAAAATTACTTCAGCTTTTAAATTTTTTTCAAACATTTAATTTTCTAATAAAATAAAGTGCTAGCTATCATTTTAAGGAAAAGAATAATACTTGGCTAAGTTAATACTTTGTTAATAAATAACAAAAACAATTTTCAAGCTAAACATAGTTTAATAGTAAAAATAATATTCAACAAAATGCTGATATTTAATAAATGTTAAGTCTACAGTGCTTATTAAAATAAAAATATATTGATTGAAAACATATTGCATGTACACAATTATCTTTACAGTATACTTATCAATTTTAAAAAGAAAAGTTATGAAATTTTAATTACTAACTAAAATGATTTATAAACAAACTAAAAACATTTTTATATTTAATTAAAATTTACCAATTCTTAAAATAAAAGTACATAAAAAATAAAGTGATTAATAAAGAGTAATGATTTAACTCTTTCGAAAATAGTTAGTTATAAAAGACAGGCATGAAAGTGGACAAAAATAAAAAAAGCTGAACTTTTATACTGGGAGGAGAGGGGGGCGGGGGTATGATACTGAGATTTATGAAAGCAACTTTTAACTATGCTGGAAGATTTTTATTTAATATTTAAAGTGGCAGAAGCATTTAGACAGTTAACTTTAAATTTTTCTTAAATATAATTTTAAAATTGCGACCACTACTATATTAAAAACAATTAAGCAATTATAGGAAGGCACGACTATTAAATTACTTACTAATGAAAAATATACCACATCTTTACAGTAACTAATTCAAGAGAAAACTTACTTCTACTTCTGTCAAAAATCGCGATATTGGATTTCAAAATCGCGTGAATATGAATCGCGATATTGGATTTTAAAATCGTGTGAATATGAATCGCGCGGCTGGATTTTAAAAACTCGCGTGAATATGAATCGCGATTTTGGATTTTAAAATCGCATGAATATGAATCGCGATTTCGGGTTATAAAATCGCGTGAATATGAATCGCGCGGCTGGATTTTAAAATCTCGTGAATATGAATCGTGCGGTTGGATTTTAAAATCGCGTGAATATGACTCGCGATTTTGGATTTTAAAATCGCATGAATATGAATCGCGCAGCTGGATTTTAAAATCGCATGAATATGAACCGTGCGGTTGGATTTTAAAATCGCATGAATATGAATCGCGATTTTGGATTTCAAAATCACGTGAATATGAATCGCGCTGTTGGATTTTAAAAACACGAAAATACATATTGCGCGTAAATAAATCGCGTAATTAAGAATCATGATGCATAGTTTTAAGATCACGTGAATACGAATCGCAGTGAGTAATTTTTAAATAGCGTACAAATAAGAAAAACGATATCTGATATTACAACTGCGTGATAACGAATCGCAATATTGGATTTAAAAATGCGTGAATACGAATCGCGATGTTGGATTATTAAATTGAGTGAATAGGAATTCCTAGTACGGCTGTTAAATCGCAACACGTAACTATTAAATCAGTTAAATACGAAAATCAATTATTGATTTTAAAATCGTCTGATTAAAAATAGCGATTTTAGCATATTCCCTCGCAGTTCCTAATATTTAAAATTCCGAAAATCAGCCAAACAAAAGAAATCAAATATCGGCGGTCGGAAACGAAACGCTCCGACTATCGTTCGGGAGGCTTGGGTTCTCTAATTGGACTCCCCAAAAATTTTAGTTTTTTGAACATGGTCGAAAATTTTAAAAATTGGGAGAAAAAGCGGATTTCCGCTTTTTTGCGGAAGTCTTTCATCCCTGAAAAGAAGATTAGTAATATTCCGTTTTGCTCCGTCTTGTAGTTTTTTTAAAAAGACGGAAATCCGTCAAAATACGGAAAACTTTCACCCCTGCACTAGTTTCTAGACCTCAATTATTATAGGCTGCCTGCAAAGCTATTTTTCACTTAGATAATAGCAATTAAACACAGCCTCAAAACCACACTAGAAAACTCTAAAGGGAAACAGCGTAATCAAAACTGCTACCACACACGTCTAACATTTGGAATGATATTTTTATTAAGATCAAAACACTGTACATAAAATTATCATAATTCAACATGCTTTCTAAGATCAAATGAAAACCTTAGATCAGAAACAAATTAGAACCATTTATGCTTTCCTATTTAATATGAATTAGAGGGAAGCAATATTTCTGACATGATTTAACAAAGACCTAAAATTGCACTACCACTTTTATACAAAATAGAAACCGACAATCGGGAGTTGTAACCATTCTTTTGTATTAGAACCCATTCTTCAGACTGCTCCCGGACACGCCAAAATAAGAAGAAAAAACGGTAAATAACTACAAAGTAAATTTTTCAAATATTTAACTATTTTTGATTACTTTTTAAAAGCTATAGCAAGACATAAGTACTATAAAGTGGTGAATTATATATGCCTACGAATTATTTCGAAATAATGGTGGAAAAAAATCTACTAAAATGAATTTATTAAACCAAGAATCACAACTGATAAACTACCACTTTAAAATATATATTTGCTGTCCGGAGCAAGTTGGCATCTCTGCAAGAGGAAAATATAAGTATTTTAAACAATAACCAATTGAAAAAATACATGCATAGATCTAGTACAATACATCCTATATTTTTATAGCTGATTAAGTTATTTCAAATGTATAATTGGTGTTGCCAGAAATGCCCAGCCAATATAAAATGTGCCACAGAAGAGTTCCAAAATGCAATTAGCTTTTCTATTTGTAACAAATCTATTATTTACGTAAGTTTTTTTTTTAAAAAATATAATGAACTATGAACAGATTCTAAATTAAAATAAACAAAAAGAGAATTACCAGTTTCTGTTTCTTTTTCTTTGTCCTCACCTTCAATTTTAACTTTTTCTAAATCATTCTAAAAATTAAAAAAAAATACATGAATAAAATAATTCTAGAAAGGAAATACAACAAAAATCAATAAATTAACAACTTACAGACATCTCTAACTCTTTATCAGAATCTGACTGGAATTCACACTCTTCATCTGTAGGATTGTATGCACCAGTAATTATAGCTGCACGCTGAAAATAATATAAATGATATCTCTTAAAAAAACAATTGTTGATTTCATAGTTAGTAAATTAAACTTTTAAATAGTCCAAAAAGTTTTCCCATTTTTATTCTTATTTTTAAGTGTATTTCATAAAAATACTGATCTTCATGGGGAAAAAAAATAAGTTAAGGTAGGGTTAATAAAATTTTATTTAATGTTTTACCTAAAAAAAGTTAAAAATGCTTTACATTAAAAGAAATAATTAAAAGACTTAAGATGGGTTGGAATTTGCTCATATTATGCAGGGATAGCAAAGTTTAGCCCAGCCCAGAAAAATTATACCCGCCAAGTAGGTTTTTCATCAATGTAATATTTCCAATAAAATTTCCTTACAATTATAAAACCAAATTGTTCTTCAGAATTATCAACTTATTGTTTCATAAATTTAACCTAGCGACTTAATACAAAATTATATAGAGTAAAATATTTATATAAAGTTGGTCTAATCCCAAAGGTACAAAATAGCTAGCACTGGGAGTAAAGGTGTGTATACATAGGACATTGCTAAATTATATATTATTTATGTATAAAACAAATGTGTAATATGCATACACATAATACTTATGACATGATTTATTTCAATACACACGCAATATTCCAAAATGAATATAATTTTTTAGACAAAGTATATAGAAATAAATTATGCAGTTTAAAAAATTCTATATTATGTTAAAAGATTAGACCAAAATAGCCCCATTTTATATAAGATCAGAATAAATTCATACAACTTTTATTTGACAGCTGTAATGTTGCTTGTAAATAAAAACTTTATAAATACCAAAATTAAGCCAAAAGCAAATACTCACTTTATCGTATAATGGTTGAAAGATTTTTTCATATTTAATTTCCAAGGCATGAAGTTCTTTAAAAAATTCAGATTCTTTATTAACATGCTCTAGTTGAATTCCTTTTAAAGCTCTTACAAGTCTTCTAGCTGATTTAGACATAAGGTTAGGATTTAAAGCACAGCTCATTTTCACATGTTTAAGTATCAGATCATGAAGTTCTTGATCAATTTCTTTTTGGTGATCATCTTCTAAAAAATAAAAAAAATTCATTAAATTAAATGAACTTTGAAAATTAAATAATTTAATCACATATTATTTAAGTTATTGTTCAGATCAGCCTTATGTTGAATTGTTAAAAAAGATAATTTTAAACTTTTACTGTGTATAGTAAAAAGCAGAAAGAACAGAACTAAAGAGGTTAATAGCAGGAATAAAGAAAATTAAACTTAATTAAATATACATACACTTTTGCTAAAATAAAATTAAAATAGAAATTTAGAACAATGAAAATACTGAAATTAAAATAACTTAAAATAACCATAAATAAATAACATTATTTCAAAGATGCCTTATTAGTTACTAATTACAGTCCTAATAACAAAACGAACACATTTAAATGCTTACAATCAGTTTTTTTTTTTTTTTTAAATAATAAAGAACATTTTATTTTTATTTTATAGCCGGCGCTAAACAGCCAACCTAAACCAGAAGACAAGGGAACACCTGGATCAAGTATTGGGAGAAATTTGCCCTTGTCGAGGACTTTTTGATGGAACTAACCATCTTACTGCTCTCAAAGAATACTAATTATTTTAGCAAACACACAGGAAGGTAATAGTTGACAGACAACTAAGCCTGTTGGCGCAGTGTTGCAAAAAATTGTAACCTAATATGTACAAAAGCATGAACATCTATTTATTCCTCAATGGTTTAAATAGTCTTGTTAAGCATTTCCTAAGATCAGTAAGAAAAATCTTACTGCTCTCAAACAATACTTATTATTTTAGCAAACACACAGGAAGGTGATAGTTGAAAAACAACTAAGCCTGTTGGCGCAGTGTTGCAAAAAAATGTCCATGCTGCTGTACATATTAGGTTACGTCTTATTTCATACCTTAATGAATCAAATAGTCATGTTAAGCATTTCCTAAGATCAGTAAGAAAAATCTTACTGCTCTCAAACAATACTTATTATTTTAGCAAACACACAGGAAGGTGATAGTTGAAAAACAACTAAGCCTGTTGACGCAGTATTGCAAAAAAATTTCCATGCTGCTGTACATATTAGGTTACGTCTTATTTCATACCTTAATGAATCAAATAGTCATGTTAAGCATTTCCTAAGATCAGTAAGAAAAATCTTACTGCTCTCAAACAATACTTATTATTTTAGCAAACACACAGGAAGGTGATAGTTGAAAAACAACTAAGCCTGTTGGCGCAGTGTTGCAAAAAAATGTCCATGCTGCTGTACATATTAGGTTACGTCTTATTTCATACCTTAATGAATCAAATAGTCATGTTAAGCATTTCCTAAGATCAGTAAGAAAAATCTTACTGCTCTCAAACAATACTTATTATTTTAGCAAACACACAGGAAGGTGATAGTTGAAAAACAACTAAGCCTGTTGGCGCAGTGTTGCAAAAAAATGTCCATGCTGCTGTACATATTAGGTTACGTCTTATTTCATACCTTAATGAATCAAATAGTCATGTTAAGCATTTCCTAAGATCAGTAAGAAAAATCTTACTGCTCTCAAACAATACTTATTATTTTAGCAAACACACAGGAAGGTGATAGTTGAAAAACAACTAAGCCTGTTGGCGCAGTGTTGCAAAAAAATGTCCATGCTGCTGTACATATTAGGTTACGTCTTATTTCATACCTTAATGAATCAAATAGTCATGTTAAGCATTTCCTAAGATCAGTAAGAAAAATCTTACTGCTCTCAAACAATACTTATTATTTTAGCAAACACACAGGAAGGTGATAGTTGAAAAACAACTAAGCCTGTTGGCGCAGTGTTGCAAAAAAATGTCCATGCTGCTGTACATATTAGGTTACGTCTTATTTCATACCTTAATGAATCAAATAGTCTTGTTAAGCATTTCCTAAGATCAGTAAGAAAAATCTTACTGCTCTCAAACAATACTTATTATTTTAGCAAACACACAGGAAGGTGATAGTTGAAAAACAACTAAGCCTGTTGGCGCAGTGTTGCAAAAAATTGTAACCTAATATGTACACAAGCATGAACATCTCTATTTATTCCTCAATGGTTTAAATTGTCTTGTTAAGCATTTCCTAAGATCAGTAAGAAAAATCTTACTGCTCTCAAACAATACTTATTATTTTAGCAAACACACAGGAAGGTGATAGTTGAAAAACAACTAAGCCTGTTGGCGCAGTGTTGCAAAAAAACTTCCATGCTGCTGTACATATTAGGTTACGTCTTATTTCATACCTTAATGAATCAAATAGTCATGTTAAACATTTCCTAAGATCAGTAAGAAAAATCTTACTGCTCTCAAACAATACATATTATTTTAGCAAACACACAGGAAGGTGATAGTTGAAAAACAACTAAGCCTGTTGGCACAGTGTTGCAAAAAAACGTCCAGGCTGCTGTACATATTAGGTTACGTCTTATTTCATACCTTAATGAATCAAATAGTCATGTTAAGCATTTCCTAAGATCAGTAAGAAAAATCTTACTGCGCTCAAACAATACTTATTATTTTAGCAAACACACAGGAAGGTGATAGTTGAAAAACAACTAAGCCTGTTGGCGCTGTGTTGCAAAAAATTAATCCAACAAAAAAAAAAAGGTTTCAACATAAAAATAAAATTACATTTCATTGCATTTACATTATTAAACCCACTAAAGCCCAGAAAGTAAAAAACAATTCTATTATCTTTATCTGTTTCCTCTAACCTAGTACCTTTCTTTGTACATATAATTCATTAATATTTTTGATAGATACATTTTTCTGTTTAAGATTACTGAAACCATGTACTGAGCTACTATATTTTTAAGGGATAACAGTAAAAAAAAAAAAGCATTAAAGGTATTTTCTAACCTCACGAATATTGTTTTAACAATCTACTAAGCAAATCTTGAAATATCTTGATTCATGTGTAGATTGCAAACTGCCAGTTTAAGTCAAAAAAAGTAATAAATTGATTCTGACAAATGGCTAAAGTTGATATCCATCCAGTTTGCCACTGCACGCAATTAAATTCCAAATGAAAAATTGTAATAACAATTAAATAAAACAGCTTAATTTAATTGCACTAGCAAGACAGACCTAATTTAAAATTTATCAAAAGAGCACTTTAGTACCAAATAAAAATGAGAACTCTGAATATACAGGATAGTATAACTTGCATTTTTTCCGGCAGTTCAGAAAGTGAAGTCTTCTTTTTTTAAAAAAAATTAAGGACTTTAATAGTGAAAAAAAATAATTTCCTATCAAATATTGAACGTTCTGTCAAATATCGAACGTTCAATCTTTTTCGCTCTCTTTCTGGCAATGACATGATTTTATGCTCAAAATTTTTTTGTTTTTTGCTCTCAAAAATTGATCAAGATGAATTTTGACCTTATTAGAAATAGCTTTCACCACAAATTTTTTTTTTTTGGAGACAAGAGACTTGTTGACAATTCACTTATTCTTCCAAGTAATTTGCACCTCAAAAATGGATAATGTTAATGATGTTTGAAAAGCTAATTCTAGGAGTCAATGATGGCACTAATTTCTTTCAGCGATCTCACACTTGCCAGTTGGCATCAACTAATGCCTTCATAATAAGTTCATCAGCTTCAACTAGTGATGCATCTTAATTACCAGACTGAAAATTTGCAAATCAGTTTCAGCACTAGTCCTTCATAATAAGTTCATCAGCTCTAACTAGTGATGGATCTTAATCACCAGACTGAAAATTTGCAAACCAGTTTCAGCATCAGCACTAGTATACTGTCAAATACAACTTCTCCATATATATTTCATTATTTTAGTTGATCTTTACCTTTTTGGCAATAATTAAGTAAAATATGCCCCAAAAAAATGATTTTTTTTTAAAAACCTGTATTTGATAGAACGCCAGCCAAAAACTATTGCTCGGAATCAATCTAACTTTTTTACAAGCAAGTCTTGTCATATCAGCTATACAAATATACATTATATCAGATATACAAATACAGATATATGATTATGCAGCTTAAGAGTGAATTTGGTAATGAAATACAATAAAGTCTTGTGTTAGGAAAAATGAAATTACTTTACAAACAATATAATAAGTAACAAAAAAAAATAAAGATAAACAGAAAAAAAAATTTAAGATTAGATCAGAATACACAATGACTGTTGAATATTTATTGCAAGTTATGTGTCAAATAAAGTAAACTAATCCATTATTAGAATTTTTAATTATGAAAATTTTGCTTACTATCCCCAGCTTCATCAGCTTCTATTTTAACAGCTTCACATTTTTCTGGCTCATTCTGCTCTTTAGGGCCATCTGGTCCGCTGCAAATTAATAGTTCTTAAATACTCTGATAATAAATGAAGCCATTATTGAAATAATCTAAAAAATAGTTTTAAGCACTTTCTTGATAGGTGGTTTACAGTCGAGAAATAATCCGCAGTTTAATATTAGTATATTTAAAAATTATTACTTGGGCTCAAAATTTTTCTATTGAGATAAACTAAAGCATGCGATTGATCAAAAACAAACTGATCAAAAATTCTTTTAAAGTGCCACAATTTTACTTTATTGAATATTATGCCAATAGCCCAAGTTACTAACCTTACCATAAGACACTGAAATATTTGACTAGTCCTTTAAATAGAGTTGAGAAACACTGGTTTACAGCAATCAGTACATTATGAGTACATCAGTACAAGCATTTTTGCTCACAGCATAGAATTTTCAAAAGCACAATTACTCAACAAAAGTTTTCTTAATTTTAAAAATATTTTTAAAAAAACTAACACTTCTAAAAGTGTTTTCTTCAAAAATAAATATAATGGCAGAATCACATTTTAATCATTAAAATTAAAGATAAGGTAGACTTCGAATGAGCCATGATATATATACTTAGCAATACTGTTTATCATTACTTTATATTCACACACTTATGTTCTGAAAAGCTCTTTAAAATACTAAAAACTAATCTCATTTCTTTATATAACTTTTAAAGCTTATGCTCAGCCTCTTTAAACTTAGAAGATTGCTAATCTGTCAACAATAAAAAAAACTTAAGCTTTTAAGATGAAAGTCAGTAGACTAAATTTTTTTTTCTGCATCCTTAGAGATAGGAAAATTTTTGTATCGATATCTGCCTTAAAATACTCCCTTTTGTGCCCTTTTTAAGGACACAATGAAATAAAAAGGAAAAACACATAAGGAGACAAACCCTAAAGGTATAACTCTGAACAATTCCAGGCTAATCATTACTTACATTTTTTACAAGTACAAAAAACCTCTTGCACCTTCGGAATGGTAATAGGAGCAAACAAGTAAAGATACAGAAATTTCTTAGAGTTAAAAAAATAAATAAATAAATAACTAACTATTAAAAATAACCTGAAACACTTTCCATTTTTTAAAAAAAGGCATTAAAATGTTCTCAACTTAAATTTCATAAAATTAAAAAAATTAGTAATTAACAAGTTACATTGACAGGTTATAAAATATATATCTGTCTAACAGTTGACAATTCCAAATTTATTAATTTAAATTATCACTCATTAAAATGAAGAACTTAACATAACTATAGTATAATAATAAAGGAGTATAGTATAATAATAAAGGAATACTTACTCCTTAAGATCACCCATGTCCAAAGCTTTTATTTAAACCTAAAATAAAATTTATATTTAGATAAAAACAAGTATTAAGTAACACCCTTAATATAATTTTGAGGAAAAAAATAAATGTACAATCAAACAAATTGAAACTACAGAATCAGGGCCCGCATGAAGAACTTCAAATTATTAGCAGAGTATCAATAGTATTCGCCAAATTTCAAAAATACTAACATAATATTAATTCCATAAAAAACATCAAATTTATTATAAATTGAACTATTTTATAAAATGCAAATTTAAATCAAGAGTCATTTGACAGTTAAGGAGAAGTAAATGAGCAATGGAATGGGAGAGAAAATGAAAAATGTAGATGTTTTATTGTCTTTGAGAAAAAGAAATAAGAAAAAGTTGGGGGTTAATATCCGATTACTTCTTAGATTAGAGTAGTAATATAAGGATAAACCTGAAGCAACATTAGATGCTTTAATAGATTCAGATCATCTTTTAAATAAAACTTTTCATTCTTTAAATCTTATTTTGTAATATAAGAATTCTTACTGTCTTGATTGTAATCCAGGGGTGATTGTGACCCAAGTCAAAATTCTGGGTTAAAAAAAGTTTAAATTCAAAAAAAATTTAAACCAGGTCTTTTTAATTTTTTTCAATATTTCTTAGTTTACTTAAAATATATTTAAAATTTTACACATACCTATGATACCCTGGAGAAGAAATTAAAATTTACAAATGTGTCTTTCTTTCTTGAGTTTATGATTAGAACTACTATTTACTGATAAAAAATTAATATTAATCATGAATGTAAGCCTATAAAGTATCTCTGGCTCTTCTACCTCTGAAAATTTGATTTCTGGAAACTTCTGTGATCAATGATTATTTGAAACGTTTGGACCTGCGATCTCCGGAAACTCCCGGATCACTGTTAGCAAAAAATCCGGATTTTTTCCGGAGCACAATCAGCCCTGGTAATCAAGAATTTTTTTCAAGCTATCTGCAACTAAGCTCTCTAGGATAAGATCTTTCTGCAAGATACTTTTAATAATAACATATATGTTACTAATTTAAAATAACAAAAACACTGTTTACAAAAAAAAGGACTCATTTTCGCATTCTGTTGGAGAGGGACACACAAATTTTAATCTTCACATTTTGTAAACAATCAACATAATAAAAATTTAAAATCATGAAGTTCGTAGTAGTTAACTGCAGAAAAAAAGAGTGATGACGAAATCTTGAGAATCGTACTTCGCAAATGCGTGTTTTGTTTCAAGATAAGGTTATAAAAAATATGGCATTAAAAATATCGAATTTAAAAAATTCAGAGAAATTAATCGCAATAACTGCCAACAATTTGATAGAATTATTGCATTAAAAAGTAAATACTCAAATGCACGATTCGAATTTTCCATACTGTTTGAATTATATCGCGATATTTAAAATCAAATGGAAAAATCAATATCAATAAATACCGAAAATACAATCGAAACATTACAGCTATTTACGATACTGTCGGTGTAAATTTAGCGCTTCAAAAAGTGATTATTTATATGTCTGTTTCAAATATAACTTGTAAATTTTTGTAGAAAAAAACATTTAAAACTTTAACTTTTCAATAAAAAAAAAATCTTTCTGCAAGACCTAACATTCTGTGACAATATCACAGTGCCACTGCGATTCTGACAGGGGGTATTACAATAAGTTTATTTTGCTAAACAATGTTATTGTAAAAAGAAAACAAATTTTTCAAAAATAATTAGATGTTAATGTGCATCTAGCTACCACTCAACCAGCTTTGACACAAAGTGTAATGGAAGTTTCATCATGCAATATCATGTGATCTGGCAATGAACGTGTTAATTTAGATTTAATGGGCCTTTTTGTTGTATAATCTCCGTTGCTGCTCATATTACCTAGACTTATAATGATTGTAATTAGTTATGCAACATATCAAACATAAATTACTATAATAAAAAAAACACTAATTTGTTCAGGAAAATTTGTACTAACTTAATTTTAAGGATCGAGGAGAATCCCATTTATCTTCTAAGTAGCAAAAGTCATTCGCAGAATGCAGGGTTGGGTTTTTGACGTCAAAAAGTGGTTTTTGACATGACAAGGGTATAATACTGGTTTAAACCGTCAAAAACCCGTCAAAAATGTCAAAAACTAAAGTTTGCCAAAAAAATATATAAACTTCAAAACTACCAACAGTTGCCATGCATTATATTGAAATTTAATTATACTATAGGTAATCAGCAGGTTTTAAAATATTTTTTAATTAAAATTAAGGTAAAATAACAGATTTAAAATCTCAGAAATTTATATTCAAATGCATGTGCAGAAAAATTTTGCACAAAAATTGTTTAAATATTTATATTTAAAAAAA